GACACTGCCCGTCCTCCCTCATTTCAATTGGGAAGAGAGTAAGTCCATTCGTCCATTCTAAGGACTTCTTCATCAATGGTTTGTTTGCTTTTCTTGGCGCAATGTGGCTCGGGGGGGAGGCAGTCGCCGCGCGCGGCGTTGCGGCAACACAGAATTCGCTTTCTTTTAAGTCTTCTTCTTTCAGTATCGAGTGTTACGGGAAGATTTCTGCTAAGGCATTCTTCAGACAAAAGGATTATGTTTTATCGATTTGGTTCACTTGGAACTTTGAGAGTTGGGCGAGATCTTTGCTCCTAAAAGGCCCAAAACTAAAAGGGCAAAAGAACCAAATCGACAGTACGCGCGATATTGTTCGCTGAATCGCCTAGACGATACCCATCGTTTACTTTTCGCCTATTCCCTGTTTGTCTACTTACGTGACTGCCAATGCTGAAAAATATGTGCCATTTCAGGATGACGTTAGCACGGCTTCGAAGGTTATGTGTTTTAATGGATCGTCGAACGGTGGACCTGATTTTGGTATTGGGGAACTTGTGGAGGTTGGTTTCAGTTTTACTCTTTTTTCCCTTGGAATTCCCTATTATCGTGGAATTATCACGAAATATGCTCGGTTTCTCGCTGGTGGACGTGTCGTGGTCACAGGCTCGGCACCTTGCGGCGTACTCGGGGAAAGTTGGTGTCGCGCGATCTTTTTGATGCTCTTCTCATCTCACGCCGCGTTCATGTCAAGTCTGAACATGCCCCATCCACAGGAAACGGTGCAAAGTACCGCATCAGACTTTGGGCTACACTCGGAGCTTATGAGAAATTGCTATTGAGCAAAGGGATGGTTCGCTATATATTGGAATTCATCACGGCTTATCGGTAGTGGTATAACTTACCAGCAGTTTTGTTGGAGCAAGTAAAGGGTTCCAAAAAGTGGAGGGGTGGGTATCTGGCGCAACGGCACTATTTACCCTTTACTGCCCACTCCAAAACAGAGCGGGTTTTTATCGAAATTGGTCCATGACTGAGCATTTGGCTAGAAACTTGTGTCGGGGTAAGTTCGACCCGTAGAACACGAATATCACATTCGTTTGGCGCTGAAAACGCCTGGCGCTTGCGCCACAAGTGCCGGCGCCAAAAGGCGCCAGAACGCCTTGGATTGCCAAATTTGCTGAAAACCTGTCAGGTGTAGTTTGACGCGCAGAATATGAATACCGCATTCAAGAGAGCTTGTAGCCTGCGCTACGGGCGCCGGTGTAAAACCAATGTCATAGCGCCAGCGTCTGTGGCGCGGGCGCCATGCGTTGTTGCGTTAAACGGATGTGATATTCGTGTTCCTCTCGAAGACCTAGCGACATTTTCCCAGCCAAATCCTTAGTTATGGGCAAATTTCGATAAAAGTTCGTCTCAGTTTTTGGGGAGTGGGTCAGTAGTGCGTAATATAGGTGCCAGCGTTTCCTCATTTAACGACAAGCACCACGGCCTTGCGAGGCTCCTTTCCCTTATGCAGAATAAATGGATTGCTGTCAGCGAGCACGAATTCAGGGTGAAAATCGCTTCGAGGAAACTCAACGGCTCGTCGAGGATTTTCGCCTGATCTTCACGTTCTCCCGCGCGGATATTCACTCTCGCCACCCGCGAGCCGTCTGTGCTCTCCGCGCGTACATTCACTCTCGGCACTACTCTCGCACAGTAGAGAGCCATGGTCGAGGAATTCCTCGACCGTTATTCACCCTGCTCTCTATTCAAGACAGACTCCAAGTAAAATCCTCCTCGGGTGTTTTGTAGTTTACAAGCTCTGAGCTCTGGACACACTACTACCAATTAGCAGCATTCAGAAGCAAACAGGGCATAATATAAACACGCAAACATGAACAAAATAAGTTCATTTTCAGGAGTTCTCCAACCTGTCTTCGTACACACCGCCTCCTACGCCGGCTGCTACTTCATGCACAGAGATCCCGAGTGAAAATGCTGGTGCAGCTTTCGCTTTGAGCGATTCATCAAATGCTGCTAATGCCTTCCCGAAAACTTTTGCCGCACCACTTTTGAAGTCTCTTGGCGACCAATTACGCCCGACATTGTCTAGCAGTGTGCCCGTGTTCAGTAGTGCCAGTACGAACTTTGTCGGTGTGGTACAGCTGTCGTCGTCTGCACCCGTTCCGCCATTGCTGGACAGTCTTGATGGAAGCCATTCGTCATTTCCAGTCTCCGGCTGCGATAGCTTTACTCCCACAGGATCGTCATTACCAAGTACCTGTGACGGTTCCGTTGTTACGAGTGACACGTCGACTAATCCTCCACGTGCGGTTCGGCGTTTTCAGTATTGGTGTCGCGTATTACAGACGGTTAGATAATGTAGTTTTGAGTAAGCTAATGCTTGTACAGGTACTCGTGTTGACCTGAGTCACGCGCGGTAGCGTTGCGTAGATCCAGTGTCAGGGTCGGGTCAGACTTCGCAGCTGGGTCCGCCGTTCGAGTGCGGAGTGAATATGTGTCGATCATACGGTCGCACGATCTCCAAATCGGGCAGACACTCCATATCAAACTGTGAAGTATGATCCAACCCTAAGACCAACACGAATATCTCGGTGACATGAATTTTGTTTATTGGAAAGTTATTCCTTAGTATGCCCCAATTATTTTTAGAGACGTCGAAATCCGGTTTGTCGTTTTTGCTACGAGCGTTATGTCCTGATGTGTCTCGACTCGCGTCAGCCGATTCCCTCTCAGTTTGAACGTGGGATGTGGCATGGGCACAATATGAAGGAGCGTGGACTAGTGACGTAAGTCCCTATTATCAGAATGTATGCTATACGGCAATCTGCTGGCCCAAATCAATTCCCAATGAGTAGAACCGCGCATTCCTCATTTTTCGCTGTCCCTTGCTCTTCAGCAAGAACCATTCGCCTTTTTCCCTACTCCGGTCCACACTCTCGCAAACCATGCCAGCCCGCATCCACAGACCTTCGCCCCCATACGTGAGATCGAACCGACCCGCCTTCGACCTGCGCAACCTCAAACGATAGTTCCCATCCGTTCGACTCACATGCAATAATCATCCCCATTCGCCCCTACGCTTCGACGCTACAAGCACGCCAGTCATCCCTCATAGATATCGAACCGATTCTTACCTATGTTGGCGTATTGCGGGCCAACGTCCAACCTCGTAAGAGGTGAGGAATCCCCTTCGCTACAGACCAAACAACTCGCACTATTTGACTGCATTTTAATAAAATCCACTTCATACACTGCCTCGTAACAGCTGCATTTCCCAATATGCCCCGAGGCCAACACGACCCGCCGCCCCCCTAAACGCGATGCACTTTCTGTCATCATACACCCCGCTCAATCCTTTGCGCCCTCCCGCGCCGCCTTTCGAAATATCCCAAATACGACTTACCAGATATCACAAATACCAAATCGCGATAAGACGCGCCCTCACATACTCTTTAGCATAAAGAGAGTGAATGTGCCAACCGTACATTGTAACTATCGCAAATACCTACCCATTGTTAAAAAGTACTATGTTAATCTCGTTACTCCAAGCTCAAGCGAACGACCTCAAGAAATCGCATGTAACAAACGTACCCTATCCATAACAAAATCGAACATAAAACTCTCCAAACCACGTGATAAATCGAAAGTGAAGAAATCCCAGAAAACTAATACTCTTAAAGGAAAAAAGCCGCAACCCCTGAAGTGTCAAACGTCTCCATACAACGCACAAAAAAGAATATGTCCCCGACGTAACTATGCACTGGCCGTGCCCCGCCGCACTGCCGTGACACCTCACCGACTACGCCCCGCTATTGCCGTGGCACGCTCACTGACTGACCACTCGCCGTAGTTTTTTGGGCTGTTTAGCAGAAAGGGGACGTTAGCGTTGAAGAGAGCAGCACCGATGAGAATCGCATCAGTACAAAAAGTACGGGTGAGGAAAGGGTTCCCATTTCTGGGGTTTCACGGTTTATTCTTTATCGCAGCACCACTGGTCACCACTACTCTGATCCTAATTGGCTGTCTTCTAATGGCAAACTCCGCCTTTGAACAGTTTGCAAGTTCAAACTAGCTGACTGAAATAGGAATTCATTGCAGTTGCCCTCATCTCTGGGCGTTTACGTGTTCCCACTGTGGAGCAACCAAGCAGCATGCGCACACTGATGATTACTGTCCATTGAAACGCAGAAATCCGACTTGTTGTCGCTCTACTCAGAATTGACATCTGTTTCGAAAGGTGAGGATGTGGCTTCGTTCAACTGCTATTGTGAAGAGAGATTCTCTTCCATTCTACCATTTTTTTCATTTTTATTCTTCCACTCATCGCACAGCAGAGCGATGAGTGGCAGGTTCTGTGGCAGAAGCGTGTGTGGTATTCTAATAACTTCTGAAGTAGGAGATAAGTCTCATGATTCATCGTTTTTCAGAGCACAATTCATCCCAACTAACATCCACAATTGTGTTAAACGACCGGTGTTGCTGTGTTTGAGCATGCTGTTTTTTTATCCATTGATGGCATCTTCGTGGATTATTTTGAGACGTATAGCGGCATTCGACGGTGCTGCGTTCTTGCATCTTCCATTCATTGTTACCCTTCATTAATCTGTCTTTTCTGTACATTCAATCTTTTAAGGCTGCTCCATACTCACCTTGTGCTGCATTATATTTTGGAATCTCCTGTTAGTAAGCAATTTACCCACCATGGAGGGGGGAGTGGGCGAAGCAAAAACGGGCTTAGGTTGCTTTCATACTCGGTATCGATGCGGATGAAGCGGAAAGCATGAAGAAGACTATCTTCTGCATTGAAGCGACTCGGCGTTACGCGCTGCCCGCACCATTCGTTTCCATTCAAAGTAAGAAAGCACCCTCAGGGGATAGGATCTGATGTTGCTCCAGTGAAACTATTCAGTACGCCTACGTAACGTCTACTTTCTCCGCCTGATACAGAAATGCGTTC